GGAAATACATGGCACACACTCATACTGCTGTGGGTGAAATCCCCTTCAGAAGTCAGCGATCTCTGCACCTGCCCATGGTTGATATGACTCTGTGTGTGTGCGTTAGCCGCGACTAAGAGAGGAGCACTCTCAGTGAGGGCTCACAGAAAGACAGAATGAGGACGTCACAGGTGAGTGAATTTGTTCAGGCTGACAGGTGCGCACACACACACAAGCACAGATGCACACACACCTACTGTACGCGGGCACACAACTGTGGCAGCCACCGCAATGGTGCTATCACACATGAGTAACCAGGGCTTCAGCTCTGCTGCACTGACTATGTAATACCTGACAGAATGGGTGTGTGTGAGTTTTATGCATCTTGGTTGTGTGCACTTATGTCAATCACTGTCAGCGAAAGAATGGAAAACGAAGCAGACTTACCTTCAGTAATGTTATTCTAATATCAAAAATAAAAAATATATTTGTTGATTTTACACGCATGACACAATCATGCAAATCAGAACAAAGATTCCAGGCCTCAAATCAACATTAACACACAGTAGACCACCTTATACAAACCAATCGTGTTAGTGTTAAGGCCCTTCATTTACGGCCGCTGCATAAGAAGCCGTTGACGTGTTCGCTCTTAGTATTTTTAAAAAAATACATTCCCTGCTTGTTATTATACATCAGCTGTCAAATACTTTGTTTTGGAGACCTTGTATCTCTGCTGCACCTCATATCAAAGATGAACAACATTTCCTAAATCTGCCTCATTAATCATTTACAGCTCTTTGTTTGCCTTCCAATCTCTCTCTTCCAACCTTATTTCTCCTTGAAGCTCCTTCACTTTCAAACGAAAGCATTAATTTCTCAGGGTCTATTTGTGGTGCCCATAATGGCTTCATGGCGCCTCACATTCCTTCAAACACAGATTGATTTCACAGTCAAATCCTCCGAGTGTATATCACAGACCCTCCACCTGCCTGCCTCTGCTGTTCTGTCTTGTTTTCCTTCACGTTTCCTCGTTCTGTCCTTCTTCCACATCCTTTAACAGGAATATTGACATTTATGTGAGCATGTACTGTATGTGTACACTTTCAAATCTCACCTGAGGACAGTGATGGCCGACTGATAAGGAATACTAACACAGTCAGAGATTGAAAGTCGGTGAGAGGAGGCAGTGAATCAGTGAAGGCCGGAGGCTTCGGCAGGGTGGAACAGGGCAGTTACAGAAGGCTGTAAGTAGGAAAATTGAAGAGCTACTTTCATGCCACATTAAGTTATACCTGCCTTCCACTATGGAAATGTGCTGCGACAGAGCAGGCCCGCTTCTGTTGTGGAGGCTAATAATCAAAGCAGTGAAGTTATTAACCCTCAACACTAGGCTCCATGGCCGCCACACAGACAGCATCAAAGAAGAGGCAGAGTAAAGAAAGAGAGGAAGGAGAGAGATATCAAATCAAATGAAATGTGACAAATTTAGCCATCTGCAACGAATACATATATATATATACACACATACATACATATAATTATATATTTATGTATGTATATATATATAAATATATATATATACTGTACATACATACAGACACACACACACACATATACACAAACAGTTAAATATATACTGCATATATATTGACTAAACCAACAAGTGGATAAAAAGTGTAATAACTGGACATACATAACAAAGGGCATCATTCTGGCCATGCATTTGATGCATTCAAATGTATCTCTGATTAATTTAGCAAATGAATGAAGGCAATAATAGCAGCAGGTTTGACAGCCCTAAGAAAAACATAAACCTTTTAAGCCTGGTTTTAAAATTTTGTTGTTGCAATGTCAGTATATATATATATATATATATATATATATGTACATACTGTACATAGTAGCAGTCCCTGTTGGAGCACAGGCCATGAAAACACTTCACCCTCTGACTTCACCAGAGGCTGTGCTTTCCTCCTAATTCCAGCTGGAAATGATCCACAGCTTGCGGTGGTGCACTGGCGTCAGTGTCATCTCACTGACTCCCAATAGCTATGCCAAGGATAGCAGACTGTTCTTGTGAGGCCACCCAAGTGGGACAAGTCAGGGGATAGAGACCAAGGTAAATGGAACAATTCCAATAAGCACCACAGGACAAAATCAGCCATTTTCTACACAATGAAAACACTGACCTCAAGCAGCTAGTGAGCATAACAGTCATGTCTTACAGGTAACGCTGCACACGTTATGATACTAATGCTTAATAGAATCAAAATGATAATCTGGTCAAATTAAAATCTTGTTTTTATTTATGTTAACATCTAATAAACTGTACTTATTAAGTTCATGACTCCTATTATCCCGAACCTCAGTACCATAAACAAAACTAGAGGGACTTTTCCTCCAGGCACTCTTCAATATATTCCTCCCAGGACACGGTTCATTTAAAGCGAACCACGCGCTTCGATGCCTTTGATATTACCACTTGATTGATGTCTTCTCAATGTACTGCAGACATTTTGACTGCACCTGAAGGTCTGCCATCTACTGTCATGACTAGTTGTGCAGGTGAATGATTTTTACTGCTTTCCCTGAAGAAAGGTGTTATACAAATCCATGTTATTATTATTAATAGTAGTATTAGTATTATTAGTAGTATTATTATTAGTAGTATCTGTCTCATTTCTGTGCAAATCCTATCGGCTACTGCCCTCAGCATCAGTGACAGCCCAATCTGAGCCTCAGAAGATATAGAGAAAATTACCAAAGAGTATGGTCAAATAAAGTTTTGATTGTTTAAAATGTATTTTTTTCTAATTTGCATGCTGTTCACTTTAACAAATCACTAAGACAGAAATGCTGTATTACTGAATAAAAGGAAGTTTAGTGTATTTTATAATCTATATGCACCAGAAAACCAGCATTAAGTGCATTCATTTATAGATAATGGAAGTTTGAACAATGCCAACCTCAGACATCTGTAACTACAAAGTGGATATAGTTTTCACTGCTTTAACATAACAAAGCTATAGCAAGACGTGTCTGTGCCAGACGCAGTAGGAGCCAATGAAAAATAATTACAGACAGACAATGTAAATGCTTACAGAAAAGCAAAAACGAGAAGCAGGTGAAGGAATTAAAGAAGTTAAAAGCATAAGTCATGTCATGAAGAGCATGGAAAAAAAAAGGCAAAAGTATAAAACTCTGGAGCAGCTGTATGCTTGCTAAGGTAATGAGGAAATGGGAAGCAGGTGTGTGAGTGGAGGGGGTGGGGGGTGTCAGGGGTCAGTACAGGGCGTAATGTAAATGTGGGAGTGACAGATGAAAAGAAAATACCGAGGGCATCTGGGGCAGAGGTGGGTGGAGATTGACAAGAGACAAGGTGGCCATAATAAGAACAAATTAAATCATGACCGATGGTGAACATGGAGCGAAGTGTATATCGTGCAAATGTGTGCGAGGCAGTAAGAAATGTGTTGACATTCAGTCAAACAAAGAGAGAAAGAAGAATAAAACTCCACAACTGCCGAAAAGATGTAAAGTAATGGAGGCCATCAAGTTTGATTGCAAAGAGTCTTTATTTATCCTTGTGTTCAAGTACCGTCCTCTCTCAGCACAGTCATCTAAGAAGCATGGACACACAATAACACACAACTCGCACCAGAGCCTGAGCGTCCTCAGGTGGATTTTTCTTCTTCATGTCTCGATTGAAAGGATGGGGAGGTGGGGTAAGGGCGTTAGCTGTTTCCACGTTAAGGTCAAGTGATCAAGAGTCTTGTTGTACACGACATTATCTTTTTTTTTTTTTTCTCTGTGGACATTTCTTGTGTTTAGTGACAATGACATCTGCACATAAAAATTATATATATATTTATATTCATATATTTATAGATTTGTCATTCTATATCAACATTTTATTCTAGTGATTTTTACCTTGGTTTTTCCATGTTGCAAAAGTGAACTGTCAGTAGGAATGCCTGTTTTGGACACTGATTTATACAGGAAATGCACACACGCACATACACACAACAGCGGCATACACGCACTACTACACACATGCATGCATAGATACGCTCGCTCAGATTTGACGTGTACACACACGGGCCACGCACTCGGTCACATACATGCATACTTACGCACACGCAGTCGCTCACCCGCACGTGTCCACGCACATTAGTCCACACATGCTTAACAAACACAGAGGCAGGTCTGTACATCTACGGGAGGGAGATGATACCCACGATCCCTAGCAATAATTTTGTCTTCACCGTAACGAAACACAAGAAAATAAGGTTACAAAAAGCAGAGTAAGTGATTTAGTGGCTGTAAACTTCGACAGAATGTCCCTTTGAATTCCTTCAGGACTGGTCCATGAGGTGTCAAAGTTTGGCACAAAGTCCCGCCTCTTTTTTTTTTCTTTTTGTTCGTTTTAACAGTTAAAAGTCAGGCGTACGATATCCATGTCTTTTTGCAAGCACTAAAATTCAATGCTGAAACCACTAAAAATTGACAGAGTGGAAATATTCTCTTTCCCAAAAGGGAGAGAAAAGTGCTTTTGTAACACACACACATATTCTTTAGGCAGTGAAAAAGAATTTGAATTGACGAGGACTTGTGATGCTGCTCTGTCAGTCGAATGCTGCAGCAGCCTGGAACATTTTGACACTTTCTAGTATGTCCACAACAAAATGAACTCGACGGAGAGAGAAAACACAACTATTGCAGGGCTTCCTTTCACAATGGGGAAGGGCTAAAACAAAAGGTATCCAGTGGCATCCGTCCTAATATTTACCGTTTACTGCTCATTGTGTTCGCATGTGTTTCAGTTTCGTTGCTTCATGTTGATTTAGTCAGTAGTCAGTCGTGAAAAACAAAAAGAATGTTCTTCTTGAGTGGCCCCGTCAGAATCTGTGTAATATACACACTATTTTACTTTTTGTACAGAAAATAAAAATGCTTTTTTTTGTAAGTGAAATTTTAGAAAAAGTACTAATAAAAAAGATGTAAAAGAAAGATGACACAAAAGAAGTATCTTGACGAAGATATTCCTTAAAAACAAAGTCGCAAAGTCTCTGGGTAGCACGGCCATCGGAACGAAAAAAAGCAGGTGCTACGTTTGTCACATGGGTGAAATGGTAAACATCCACATCTTCATCTTGTGCCTGATGTGCTTTCATCTTTCTCTGTGCTTTTATACTTGTGGACCTCTTCAAAAACACACAGGCCATCTGTGTCTCCTCTCTGCTTTCATCAAACGTCAGACGACTTCTTATTTCTTCTTAGTCATTCATTGCCATTACTCCCCTATCCCCTAACTTTGTTTCCTTCCCAGCATCTGTGTACTCTGTGCTCTCTTGCTATACTATTATATCCCCCGGCCCACACCTCACTTGTACTTCGCACACTTCGATCGACACCCACCCACGTCTTATCCACTCACCACTGTAATGGAGCTGACTTTAAGGAGATAAAGTGGCCTTAAAAAAGAAAAGAAAAATGTTGGCATGCACATGCACAGTTTTCCTTCATTACTGGACCTGACATTAGTTAATTACCTTTTAAAAATGAATACCAATTTCCTGCCAATGGCAACAAGAATCCCTCTTTGACAAGCTGACGCTGAAACCCTTCAATCAACTGCCGTTAGTCGTTGCAAAAATAATCCCTTTACACGAACACACACAGATTCTCTCTTGCCCCACCCCCCGTAATAATTGCCTAGCTACACCCAGGAGTCAGGTGAGGCCGGGTAGTGGCTGGTCTCATAGTTCAGTTCGCTGTATGGCCGAGAGGCTGAGTAGAAGTCCACGTAATTTCCAGTAGATTTCAGACCCAGGTGCATGCGCAGGTCTTCCCTTGGGTCTCGGGGAGGTCCGGTGTTTGGAGGCTGCTGAGGTTGGGCCTGAGGCTGGGTCTGCACCTGCAACTGTACCTGTGGCTGTGGCTGGGACTGTGAGGGGGGCGGTCCCTGGTCCTCGTAATAGACATCTTCAAAGCTCCGACTCTGGCTGTGCGGCGGAGGCAGCGGTGGCTGAGGCTGGGGGAAGGAAGGAGGGGCAGGATAGTGGTCGTAGTCTTTTAGCATGGCTGCTGATGGACTGTCCTGCTGGGGTTGAGGGGGCACAATGCAGGGCTGGGGTGGAGACTGGTCAGGGATCGGGGGGATTGAGAATTTTGGAGGTGAAGAAGATTCGTGGGACAAGGGATAATGAAGAAAACATGAGGGCACAATGGCAAGAGCAGGAGAGAAAAAAATGGAGAGATGGGAAGAGACGGGAAGGAAGTGTGCACACGAAGGAAGAAACATTTGAAAACTTTGTAGGGCAGGTTAAAAGGATCTGACACGCATCAAGTAACAAGGAACTCATGCCAGGAATTCTCTGTTCCATGCAAGTACAGAAGGAGGCAGTGCATGCATTTGAAAGTGCTAAACCAAACCAAAATGACTTTTAGTATCTTTATTATCCCAGTAATTACTGGATAAAATCTACCTAAAGAAATGAGTTAGTTGACCTCACCAGTTTTATGATGGCCTTACCTGATTTAGTTTGATATCATCAGCAGCGGTCAGGTAAGAGTTCCGGAACAATGTGGATGTTCCACAGGAAACTGGAAGATAAAGATTGGAAAAAATATAGTAGGATATATAAACTGTATATATATGCCACATTTTGATTATAAATCTCATTATTACATTATTAAATGGTAACTGAGTCTGTCGTACTGATTCACTGAGAATATTGGAGAAAAAAGAGCCTTAAAGAACAGAAAGAGAATAAAAGGGCAGATGTGGAAAAAATAGGAAAAGAGCAAAACAATGGAAGTCAACAGAGACAGAAAAAAGTTGACACTGGTGAGAAAAGGAAAAAAAACTATGTAATTTAAAATGAGAAAGGAGGGTAAGAGGAGAAATAATGATGGAAATGGAAAAAAAGATGAAGGAAAGGCAAAAATATAATAATTTCATTCTTCTTTGTCTGTCCATAACTCTCTATCTCTCTCTCTCTCTCACACACACACACCTGCCATGCCGTCTTTCCGGGATGTGTGCTCTCCTTTGTTGCTATGGAAACCGGCGTTGGTTGCCGTGGAATCGTAGTCAATCTTACGTTCCTTCAGACTTATCATCTCTCTGGGGGAGGCTGGAGCACTCGCTAAATGTATACACGTTGCATGCATGGAGATGTGCACACGCACACACACAGACACAAGGAAAGACACAAACAATGTAACCCTTTATGCATTATTTATGCATGTGTCATTAAAACAATGAGGTATCTGAGTATTTCTTTTATTCATTGCACTGCTTAATTAAATATTTAGTGATGAGAAAACACTTAAACATAATTTTTTATCTTATTTCTAATGACACAAATATTGTGAAATGATTAATAATTTAACAGACTTCTTTTCTCTCGAATCGTAACCACTTAACGTCAGTTAAATCTATGCATCATCCAATATCTGTAAGACAACTGATTATGAGTTAGTTTATTAGTATTAATGTTGCTACGTGACCTCATACAAATAAATACGAATGAACTTGGTTGAACACACAGTAATAAATATCTAACACTTAATCCTTGCTACTCATTTGTGCTCTGTTGTCCCCAGAACAAAAATAATTACAACTGCATTCTGACATAAACACAGAGACAATAGATGTAAAGCAGAAACTGGCAGGAAGAACATTATCGCCTCACTACATGACATCGACAATTGGATCTACATAATCAGAGCCTGACCATGTGGTACCATCAACAATGTTCCTAAAATATAACAACACTGTGATGCCAATGACAGCACATGTCATCTGAGCGACTTTATAACATGTTGTATGAAACCTTGTGCGCACATAACACCATAAGAGAGCAGGAAAAGTGCAGAGTTGCCAATATTATAAAAAACTTGTTAATTATATTCTAACCTTGGCTGACAAAACCTTAAATTCGTGAAATGCTGCAGGTGTTAATCATTTCTTTAGTCATTAAATGCCAATTGTGTAAAAGTGTAACTTTCTGTGTGCTATAATACTGTAGCATCAACACAAACCAAAGTACAGTATCTCTATGGTAGAGATACAGTAGACAGAAATCAACGTAGAAACATGGACCCACGGTTCTCCCTGCGCTCTTTTCCTGGCATGCTCAGCACCGTCGCATTGTAATCCTCTTATGGAAAACTTAAAATGCTTACTCACTCGCTCTTATCTTGACACAGTGACTTGAAAGAATCCTGCCAACTTGTGTTATCAGGCCTCTTAGTTTGCTTAGCTAAAACATCCCAGTAGATGTCCACCGTGCACACCGTCTCAGGTTTTACTACGTACAGTGCCCTTGATCCCAGTTATACAAATAAAAGCAGATGACTGCAGCAGTGTAGCTACAGGATACGGATGCTTGCTTGCTAATTAAGAGCAATGACAAGTTTCTACCCCTGTGTCTGTGTTTTTTTTAATAGCAGCTGCATCAGAAATAAACAAACAAACAAAATGCTTTAAAAAAAACTGCTGCATCTGGAAACTATTGCATTTTTGAACATTATAAATCAACGAACAATCGTCAACATTGTCGATTGTATCCTCTCCAAGCATTTTCTTGCAGCTCAGCATAAATATGTACTTTGCGCACATCTGTGCCTACATACCCACATACACAGAATAATAAAGGAAACCTCAAAGAAGTCACATGAAGCTGTCTGTTTCTCAGACTTTTGATACTTAATTGTTACCATTTGACACCTCTGCAGCACATTTCATTAAGCTCTGAGCTCCAACGTGTCACTTCCACCTCCAGAGTCAGATCCATCACCAGTGGTTACGGTTACTGTGGGGACTTGGCTTGAAACTGCTGGGTTTTTTAAGAACCCCAGAGACTTGTTTTTATCTCTGCACAACACAGCAGGTCCCTGTGGATGATGGATGCAAAGGTCTCCCTCTCCCTCTGTATCTCCCCGTGTCTCCATGCCATGCTCACAGCTTGCAACCTCCCCCTCTTTTCTCTCTCTCTATCTGTTTTATCCCTCTTTCCGCACACTACCCCTCCACTCCTCCTCCCTTAGTGAGTCTGCACGCCATCATTACTTCTTTGGCTTTGATCCGTCTCTCAGGGCTGGATTGCAGTCTGGAGCCCTTAGTGAGTCTGCGCGCCATCATTACTTCTTTGGCTTTGATCCGTCTCTCAGGGCTGGATTGCAGTCTGGAGCATATGCAGGGATGAGATATGGATATGTGCGGGTTTGTGTACACATGTGCACTTGTGTGCATGAAGAGTAAGAGATCAGAAGAAGAGGTGAGAAGAAGAATTATGGCAAAGAGGAGAGAGAAGGAGGAGAGGCACGAAGGATGATACAGGGGCAAAGGCAGAGAGAAAGCCATAATGAAGATAAGGTGAAGGGAGTCATTTCCAGTGGTGTCCTGTTTTTAGTCCCATCACTGCGTAATAGGCATTCACAAGTTAGTCAATGCACTGTGATCTCTAAGTTCACGGAATGCATTAAAGAGATGCAGTGATTGATTATTGGCTGAGCTGCACTCAAAGATGCTTTACAATACTAGTAGTAAAATTCTGCTGCTATGACTGTGCAGGAAGTAGTAGAGGAAGTAGTACTACACAGGTGCTGTATGTTATTCAGATAATGCAGAAAAAGAAAAGAAAAAACAATGCAGGCAGAAGGCGGAACAGATTAGGATTTGAGCAATTACAGAAGTGACTGTGTCTTGTCTCTGTTTTGGACAAACTGTTTGATCTGACAGCCATTTATCTTATTTCCAGACAGATGGACTGTACCAGCTCATTTTAGTAACATGGAATAACTCATTCCTCCAGGCCCACTTAACGTGGGCTCCCTTCTAGGTTTATGCAGTCTTTTTTTAGATAGGGAGTGGGCAGGATTGTGGCCCACATATGGTTACCAGTTGCCCTTAAATGACACGTAGGCAATGTGCATACAAGGGACGAACTGGACGCATGTCCTTTTTAGTCAATGTCACATCCGCACAGGTGATATTGTTAATATTACTGAGGACAATGATTTCACTGAAGTTTTCTTGACATGTTCTACAAGCCACCGTTAAAATGCACAATAACACCAAGTCTGTGAAGCTGTGTTTTGCATATTTTTCTTGACATTTTAGTAAGTTACAAATTTAAGGTCAGAAAGCACACATTTACCTGCTGTTATTTGTCTTTATGTTACATCAATACATTATCAATAATATGTAATATCAATATTAATCATATTAAGCCAATGATCACAGTCATTTTGTGTTTTCCTGCAGAGTCTAATCATCAAACTGAACTTACTCATCAGCACCACATGCAGGTCAGGAAGGGGTGCTGCATACTAAATGTTAACCAAATAGATAACAGAATACTGCAACTCATAATGTGAAAATATGATACAGTATCTGAACACTATTTAGTTAGTGGTTGCAAAAAGACAGAAAGACAATCATCCCTGCCTGTGGCCCACTGACAGGAATGTTTTTGGCCGATTGGTAAATTCCCAACAACTGAAAGGTTTTAAGGTTGGTTTACTTTGTGTGTATCAGGTATTCCCAGCATCCCTGTCAAACCGCAGCCTCTCGGAACTGACTGCTTTAATTTTCAATGTCATTGAACAAAGTCAAATCCTCATCCTTCACTTCTTCGTCTCAGCATTAACCATCCTGCAGTCCCTAATTCTTCTCGCCTCCTTGCATTTCTTCTTCATCCCCCTCTCTGTTTATCTCGTACCTCACTCTTTCACTCCTCACACACACATTCTCCCTCTTTTTCTCCCCTGTCCCTCTCCTTGGGACGAAGCAAAAGTACTTTTCTGCCTCATCAGCTCACAAAGCTCAGTGTGGGGAAATTTACAGCTAACAGCTCTTCTGCTGACCCTGAGAGCTAATGCTAGGCGAATGCTTAGTTAAGCATAAGGACCAGTGTTTTCAAGCTAAAGACTTTATGCTAAATACGTTTTAACAATACGTTGCTAACAATTATTAGCTGTGTATATTCTGCTTGTTAAAGCCATTGTTGCACATTGAAATTCTAATCAGTGTACCACAAAGTAGAAAACATTAAATACAAAAACATATTTACTGAAGATGCAAACTCATCTACCTTTAACCTGTGAAGTTAGTGTAAATGTGAAGCACAAATAAAACAACGCCCCCCCCCCCCCAAAAAAAAAAAAAAAAAAAAAAAAAAAAAAAAAAAAAAAAAGGAGTGTCCCCCCACACAACCCCCCCCAAAAAAAAAAAAAAAAAACAAAAGTAGAGAAAATGGATGTGTCCCTTACCAGAGCGATTATTTGGGGAAGTCCTGACAGGAGATACGGATGGAGTTCGAGAAGACGAGTAGGGCCTCTGTCTGTCTCTCTCTATCGTAGAAGCAGAACCCACAAAGTGATACTGGGAATATCCATCCTATGAAATCAACACACACAGACAAAGATAATGTCAAGCAGTGGTTTTAAATGAACCCACGGACTTAGTTAAAACACAGAGATGGATAGAGAATGGAGAAGCAAATATTTACATTAAGAACTTCCATTAAAATAAATACCATAAACCATTTATCTCATTTTAAAGAAATTTTCATCAGATAATCAATTATTTTTTTTAATTCTCATTATTTGTTTCCATGTTAATATAATTAACGAGGGCCATTCTCTGTTAATCCTTTTGCACTCTTACATAAAATGAATACTGCTAACAAACCCATAAGTATAATTACTGCCAAGCCAGTGACTTTGTATCTGCCTTGGATTAGAAGTGGTGTGAGCAAAGCTTTTTATATAAAACTAAATCATGACAGTCAACAACAATCACAGAGCTGGAACCAAATTCAATTTAGCATTAAGATAATTGGGCACCAGTGAAGGGAGGACGTGACTATAGAAGATAATGGATGTTCATGTATTATCATTGCTCTGCTGTCTGGAGGCTGCAGTTAAGCCATGGGAAAAAATGCGGATGGACTGAGGTGACTGGAAGAACAAGAGAGAGGTGAATCACCTTTGCATGGTTAAAGTCAGAGAGAAGAAGACAGGGGTGAGGTATTAGGGGAGATGAGGGAGAAAAGAGGAAAAACAGACAGGTGGGAGAGGGGAAGGGGAGAGGGGAGAGGAAAGAGAGAGATGAGCTGGAACGAGGGAAGACAAGTTAAAAGATGAGAAGGAGGAGGAAGGCATAAAAGGAGGAAAGAGGTAACGAGAGGAAGAGAGATGGAACAGACAGTTCCACACAGTTCCAGGCATTCTTCTGACTCCCTCTATTTCCTGCTAATTGAAACTGGGAGCAGAGCTACAGCAGCTCACTTCTACACCACGTCATTAAGGTTTTTCACCTTCACAGTAGGGGGCACCGTCACTTAATATTGGACCATAAATGGATTCAACAATATGTAAACCCTGTTGTGTACACATGGTGTGCACAAAATAAAAAAATAAATGACCCATTAAAGAGCACCTCTTGTAAACTATCATTGGAACTAGTATCATTGGAACTAGTCAGAGAGGGGAATATATTTAGCCATTTCCAAAATAAGAAAATTTGGTTTCTTTCTAAGAAACTTTCTGCATTTAGTACTTCAGTAAATGTGGTAATAACAAAAGAGAAGACAAGAATAAAAATGACAAATACAGAATACACAATGACTTGGCAAACAATGTCTACAGATACTAAACTCCAGCTAAATCATTTAAATTTTTTAACAAGAAAAGAGGAGCCAAAAAGTCCTTGACGATTCTGAAAATGAATATTCTGCTCTCCCACGTTCAAAAGGACTGAACTCTTGAAATCGTCAATTGCAACAAAGTTTTCTGTTCTCTTAGATGTAGAGAGAAAGATAGTTGAAACACATCTTGGCTAAAGGCAACAGCAACAGAAAAAATGAAAGAAAAAACAACATTTAGTTGCTTCAACAAGATTCCTTCTTAAAGAAACTGAGTTTCAAGGCTTGATTTCTTTTCTGTTTCAGGAACACATTTAATTATTTTTGGGTATACGTTTTGCTTATACTGCAGTTCAAATAATTAAAGGCTGCTTGATAATTTTCATTGCAGCCTAAATCATCAATGTCAACATGTGAGATGACGTCAGACAGCTAGTCAAGGACTCAAATCTTTCATTCTAGCTTTTGCACCATCTTTTAACCATTCAGTAAGTCAGCTGTGAGTAAACAGAGCCACCTCAGCTCCGTCCCTGACCTTTGTCCCTCTTCATATTTCACCCGTTTTTCCTTCTCTCCACACCGACTGCCTCTTCCACCTTCTCTCACTTGGCAACTATTTTAACTGTTGCTCTCACCACCACTGTATGGTTAGTTGAAGGTCACTGCACTCCGAGGTAAAAAGCATTTACTGCGCCGACAAATGACACGCATGTATGTGTGTGTGGCTGGCTGGGGACACACAAAAAACCAGACAGCAATTACAGCAAAAATTGTAAAAGGTTGCACTTGATGATCACTGGGCCCACTGTGGCCCTGGGTGGCAACTGAACACTGTCAATCTCTCTCCGCCTCTCTGATTTCTCTGTTCGTTTTTTTTTCTTTTGTATAGTAGTGAGCACTTCAGTCACATCTGTCTTTATAAAAATAATGCAACCCTCAATCCTGCATTCTATATTTCCTCTACCCGGTTATTTAGGAATTGACCTTTGCGCAAAAAAAAAAAACAAAACGCTTTGACATTTACAGCAAAAAGTGCAGAGTACAGTACAGTAAGCAAGAATGCAGTCTATCTCATTTAAATACTGTTGTTAGTTTCTGCACTGAGGCTGATCGTCATCTCTCGCCTTTTTTTCTCCCTCTCTTCCTTCTATCTAAAAGCATGGGAAGATCAGAGAGATCAGGTGAAACATCAGTGCAACTTCACAGATCTGTTATTGGTTTGACATCCACTCAGTTTCCCCCAAAAGCTTTATATCATCTCACTTTCCTTTAGTGTTTGTTGATGAAGTATGGATTTTAGACTCCTTCTATATTGAGAACCAAATTAGACAAGGCCAAAAATATCTTGTTCAAAACGTAAGGATGAACTGATGATGGCCTCACAGACCACACTGCAGAGTAAAAGGTGAAATACAGTAAGAGGAGAAACATGCAGCCACTGATGAACTGCTCTGACCATTATGCCTGTATGGTGAATGCTCCATCCGGCCACCTATAATTACAGATTCTGAAATATACAGTATGAGTCACCTGGAACAACTGTTGTGTATTTTTAAAAAAGTCTGACCAACCACTGTACCGAGAGCTGCAGCCTTTCATTTCCAGGAAATACATCAGACTTATCAGGAAAGTGTTTCTGATAAGTCAGTAACTACTTTCTTCTTAAGGTGTTGATGAAAATAAAAATCCAGAATTGTCCTGCTTTGTTTGAACTTATAATTTCTTACAAAGAGAGACAAAAAAGCAAACTGCAAAACAACTTGGGATGCAACTCATAACTATTCAGATCAGTTTATTTCTCCTGATTCATATGAAATCCTTTCTTGGATTTTTCACATGAAAAAAAACAATTTTAAGTTGGAATTTTTCCTGTTTGTTTCAATTATATTGATAATGTAAATTAAACACCATTATTATCTGAGTCCATATCATATGGTGTTTTTACAACTTTATTCTTATCAACCCCCATATTTTGAGGCCTTTGCCTAATGTCACATGTTCAACAGCTCAACGACATAAAAGAAATATGACAGAAATATGACTCACTGATCCGTCCTTCCAAATGGTTTCTCTGAAGGACTGGATTGTGTAATACATGATTTTACACAGCGCTCATATCATCCTCAACCGTCATGACATGACACACATATTGGATCACACACCGCTGCACCATACTGTATGTTTGTAACATGTGTTTCTCTGACCCTGATGCTGCCATCTGTCATTTGTGTATGTATGTGTGTTTGTGATTTGTCACATTTGTATGTGACATTAATATGATGTGTGTGCATGTGTATGAGAGAGATGGAGAGGTAGTGTGTGTGCGTGTGTGTATGTGAGTGATGGAAAACCCAAACTGGATCATTTATCCTGAAATCAGACAAGGCCAGGCCAACTGAAATTATTCAGCGAACAGGTAAATGACACAGCATGATGTTTTGAAAATATGCAGCGCAAAATCTGTTGTTCTGGCACCAATGTGCACGAGAGGCGGTTAATCTCCGTGTGAGCTGGATGGATGGTTTTGTCCTTTTAATCCCATTAGGAAAAAATACTTTGATACATTTATTTTTACGTATTTGCTCTCCAGAGGCATCACCTGTCAAACTTGCGGTTTGCTTTAGTTTGACCACCTGTCAAACTTGCGGTTTGCTTTAGGAATGACCTCTGACCTCCCTGTCTGCAAGTGTCTACGAAACTCGACAGACACGCAAACACGGAACCATATAAATAAAATAGAATAGACGACACTGGACAGCCAGTGATTGTGTTTCTTCAGACTGATTTTGGCTTTGGTTTATTAATAACTGCTGCAAGTCTGAACTTTCAAATCACTATTTACGCAGAGTAATACTCAAATGGGCAAAAACACGTTGTGTATCAGTATATTCAGAAAGAGCAGGGCAATAAAAATTCTCTTCTCTCCACATTTCTTCTTATTTTTCCTTTGACTTTTTAACATGTTGTGTTCCCATGGCACTGCTGGAAGATGTCATTACTTCTCTCATTGCAGTTGGACAATAATATTTCAATAATAACAATAGTAATAATAAAAGATTCGTAAACAAACTTGCACAGACACAAATCAACAAAGGCATCAATGCCCTGAAGTTCACAACTTCAAAGTGTGTTTCAACATGCTATCATTGATTTAAAACTTCAAAGCAAACACCAACCTGCTAATTCGTCTTCTGCACAGTCCTAATCAACTGTTTATGGAAGCACACACGCTCACACATGTACGTGTTATTTCACTCATATTAGTGTTAGAGTTAAATCCCCATTTCATCTTCTTTTATGTTTTTTTTTAATTCCTTTTTATACTGATGTTTTTCCCCGGTCTTTCTTTTCCCATCATGCATCCTGAATCAAATCACCATTTTATCTGATTTTGTGATTTGTTTTTTATTTATCCTTTATTCATCTCTTCCTTGCTAACACTTTTTGTCCTTTGTTTTTTTCTTTTCTTTTTGTAACGTACTTTCGGTAATTTTCCCTTTCTCTCATTTTTATTGGTTTCCTTCATTCTTTTGCTTCATCCAACACCAATTTCCTTTAGAGTCGTGCAAGGACACCAGGAATCAGAACGAAGTCACTCATTACAGACTCTTTAACTTGTGTCAAAGTGGATCTTCCACAGAAACACTGATGAAATGGGCTGCCTCGTCACTAACAAAGGTCATTTAGGAGATAAACAATGAAGATGCTGACTATCTCTGATGCGTTTCCTTTCTCTTTCTTTCTGTTGTTAAAAGTTGTTAAAAATATTTTATTTTTTGGTAAAATGGTCAATTTACCACCTTAAATAACTACATTAGGTCAAAATGGATCTGAATGAATACTGGTTGCATTTGGAGATATGATCAGGGAAAGGAAATAAAAGTAACACATAGGAAGTGCTTATGAACTAGAACAGGTCCGACGCAGGAATCTGTAAATGTATGTTGCATAAATTTTAAAATGACAAAAGTTCTAAATAAAAAATGTTTCAATAGTACTGCATTGGAGGAAACGTTTCCAAATTAAATTCCATTGCTTGCGCAACCATCAATATCACAGAGTGACGTCTCTGTCTTCCTTCCGTATCTGCATCAAACTAAAGCACAAGGCTACCAGGCAGAGTCAGCGTCCTTCATGTCATAATCAAGTGTAGCACTATCCAGTAGAAACGATCAGCCACATGGAGCTCTTTCCCATGTAACTGTTGGAGATGAGAGGATGACGGATGAATTGAGTGCCACAGTTGAAGGGATGAGTGGAAGACACGATGATGCCACAGGGCAGCCTGTCCTCAAGTGACTGCAGCAAGAGTTGGAGAGCCCACTACAAATCCTGAAGAGAGTCCGCCCGCATGTTAATCACTGAGAAGAGTTATTTTCTACCTCCTAAAGCAGCTGTTTGGGTGATGGTTTTGGTTTAATTCAAAGAAAGACAGTTACATATTCATACAAAAGATTTCTTTCTCTTATTGTCAGACATCTTTGAAAACGGAAGCGCAGGTACTTAAAATTCAAGGGCAAAGTTGGGAGGTTTGTTATTCGAGATAAATTGTAGAGAATGAATGGTTAATATGGATTGGGCTGAAGTCTTCACACATTCCATCTGAATACCTCACAAACCACATACCACCAAAGATTTCACTGGAAACCTTGATTCATTTAGACATGTTTTTCACTGATTCAAAGGCTGATTATTGACTGTATCGTGTCAACACAAAGCTCCAACCAATCATACTTATTCCTCCTGTCTCTATGCAGAAATGAAAACAACACCTGCAGAACCAAGGACGTGTTTTCTGAAGTGTCACTTAGAATTTCTCCGCACCTCACTATTGACGGTGCTGCAGTCCAGCTGCTGTGAATGGCAGATAACCTTGGAGTCAGAGACACTCTCCACCACAGTCATTATTGACAAATGACAACAGTAGAACATTTGTCATCACTTTTAATCCTGTCAAAAGTCTCTGTAAGTAGTGGTGTGCTGAGAGCAGACAAGGAGCTGGACGAGAGCGAGGTTTCTGAGTTTGTGTGTGTTGTTAGACTGTTAGTGCTGGCAGGGAAAGTTTTGAACACATTTCTGAGAGAAAGCTGTGAACAAATTGAAAATTATTTTCTAATAGTTTTTCCTTTTTTTTTGAAAGCCACAGTCGAGATGCACAGTCATAACTAAATTCCACCAACTCATGTTGACTTAGACTTTATCATATTGTTGATATTGCCTTAACATTTCCTCAAATTAACAATTATACAATTAATAATTTAGAAAAAAAAAATCTGTGTCTAGCAATATAAAGATTTATTTTTGGTCATACTGTATTCAGAAGTGAGGATTCATCTCAATTGCTAAGAATAATCACACAATTCACAAGTAAACACAATTAATTGTGAATTGTGATTAATTGTGAATAAGCAATCAAAACTGAATTTAGGGAAATTTTACATTTTCTTGAACTAATATATTGTGTGTATTGGATAAAGAGACAGAGAGAGAGAGAGAGTGAAAGAGAGAGATAGAGAGAGGTAGGATGATATTGGATTAAAAAAACCAACAGCTTCTGTAAACACTTTGCTTATTTGTGGTGTTGCCTGCAGGACACTATTGGTTTGAAGGTATTTATGGCTCACCTCACGGCGAAAGCACACAGACATTCTACAAACACACACACACATGAGCCATAAGCCTCACAGACGAGAAGGAAGAAAAGGGGGAAAGAAGGAACATTTCCAGGGAGAACAGAACTGGAGCAAACCGTGAATGAAACTGATAAAAGCACGAGTACATGGTTTGACTTGGTCCTACCTTCTTGTAGAGGGAGCGCAGGTCTCTATACTGCCACATACTGCTGAGGACCTGAGAGGCAGCCTTTACCACTTTGGCTGAGTGTCTGCAATGACAGAAAAAGTTAACTCTCCCCCATCCTGCTCTTTTGGGAACTGCTACGTTGCTATTCTGTCCACTTTCTCCTGGACAATATGTGTGCAGGCCAGCAGCACTTGTCATGGTTTTAAGAGTAAGAGGATAATTGCTCTTCTCAGTAGAGAATGATTTCCTTTGCTCAAAAACTGCGAGTTCGGCGATGAGTCCAAAATGACCCTCTCTGCCATGCTAATGGTCCCATCCGTGCCACTTAGTTGAAAAATGACTCTAGCAGGAGTCATTTCCTCGGCTCTGCCCCTCCAACAGCCACCAGGGGAAGTAAGGGGGGGGGGTCTCGTTTTGCATTCAACCAACAAAATTGGCAAAACGGGCTGCTGAAAATAGGTTTCCCTATTGATTTTATTCCTTTCAGATGAAAGGAAGTTGAGAGAAGGCAGTGGGAAGACTGCAATCACTCACACCACAGTCTACTGAACTCTATCTTAGTTAAATCTTCCCGCTCTTCAGGAAAACAACCTGAATATCAGCACTGTTAGAATGCAGCGTCAGCAAACCCTATTGATACGAGTAGCTTCCAGCATTTCACCTTCTGTCACTTAATGTGTTGAGGGTCACATGGGTGTAATGCCATTTTCCAGCTGACACTGGGACTTCAGTCTGGTCCCCTTTAAAAACTGTTGTTTTTTTTATTTCACTGACCTTAAATTCCTGTTCGTTTTGTGAACTCCACTTTAACCTGGCCTTACACTGGAAAGTGTTCTGCCATTACACAGTATAATATACTGCACATTATCTGCTGTTATTTGGCCCATAACTAATTATGCTTCTATGTAGCTGTCCTGTTGACATGAATTCATAGTGGAAAAAAACATTTGCGTCACTAAAGATTGGGCAGTAGCCAGAAGTGAGACGCTGGTATGCAGAACGAAGTTAGTGATGCATTTACTGTCCTGGAAAAAAATGCAGCAACACATTGTTTTGCTGCTTGGTGTGTTGATTTTAATTATGGGTTGTCAGCAGAGTTTTGCACTGATACAGCAACATATGTAGTAAAAATAAAACGATTAGCTGTTCAGAAAATGTGACAGTAAACTGTGGCCTTTTTTTAATATTGCAAATTTACAGCTATTTTTAAAAAAGAAGATTCTCATCAACCACAAGTTTAAGCATTAAAATCCTGGCTTTGACAAAACCTTTTTATTCCTGTAAAATATTACATTGATAAAACATTTCAAGCACCATGTGACTGAACCTCGTGAGTATATGTTTACACTCCATTGTAAACGCTACACACTCACTGTAACAGGCAAAACAGTTGTAGAGCCAACTAGTTTATTACTGTTTGAATTTAAACCAGTCCAATTAGACCCCATTGTATCCATTTAGTTTTTTAGTGCTAAGGAAACCTATCTAGGGGGCGCCTTTGGTTGCATTCTAACTGACCTTTTTCTACTTTGAATGTGTGTGATTGTGCAGACACAGCAAACTACCTCTGATAAGGAACATTTATCCTCAGTGCACCTACCCTGGGAAAATGAAGATGTGTGAGCTATTAGCATGTAGCTACTCTGAGAGTGATATTTGCACTTAGGGAGGTTTCTGCACCTCATCTCTCTTCCTCTAATGCTGCCCTTGAGCACAGTTCCCTAAATAGACTGAATCTCTCTCTGTGACAATACATCAACATTTGACCTCCATCCGATAACACTCTGGTGTCATGGCAACCCCTGACCTATTGGTTGCCATAGCAGCTGAGCAGAACACCCTGTTAGGTCTCCAGTGGTGACAGCAGCTACAGTTAAAAACCCTGGTGTGTGTCACTTGTTGTTCACCAGCTGTGTGTTTTGTGGATGACTGCTCACAGGGTGAGTGATTGATGGATGGGCGATACAGTAGTCTCTTTATAACACGTGCAGTGCAATGAATGTGAACCGGATATTTACTAAGTGGTCATTTCCCTGGGGAGGTTTGTCATCCTGCTTCATTATTCTGATTTATAAAGATGCCAAATACTGTAAGCTAAAAATGTATGTAATGTAGCAGCTATTGCGTCAAATATAAGGTTAAAAAAGATATATCATAATAAAGGTGATGTGTGATGAAATAATCTTTTTTGCCTTTTTTCTTGCATTCTATATAGAGTCCCCACATTTGTACAGAAAATATAAAACAACCCTCACAAAAACTCAAAATTTAATGTCATCTATTAACTTTGGATGTCATTACCTATTGGGCCTATTTTTATTACAGCTTATAATTAATACAAACTGACTTAGATTCTTTTCCTTATACTTTTGTCTTAAATCACTGAAGTCCTTCACAGAGTGGCTGAAAACACACAACAACACTAAACAACGAGTTGCCCTTGACCACCCCTGTTTAACTTTGCGAGACTCGACCACAGCTGTGGAGGGACTCCAAAAATACAAACGATGTCAGGGTGTCCTTTGGAGACATTTCTCTAAGGGACTTCTGGCCCAGGCCTTAAGTTGAAAATGTGTTGTTACATAAAAGGGAACATGTTCAATTTAAAACACAGGCTAACCCTTTATGTAAATTTGGACAACTGTAATGACATCATTGGAGTGATGATGTGACGATGCACAGATATTTGTATAGGGGGTTATCGTTGGTCCCACTCACTTGTCTCCTTTGCTGCGGGCGATGCCGATGAGTTTTTCTATGCCGCCGGCGTCTCGCAGAGCTTTGGCGTTCTCCATGTTTTTAGTGATGACTTCGTGTAGTGCACAGCAGATGGCAGTTACAGTATCATCTGACATGGCCTTGCTGGGAGAGCTGGTCGTTACAGTGGTCCCACTGCTGGTGGCGTTATTGTTGCTGCTGCTGCCTCCTGGTAACCGATGGATCAAATCCCTCATGGCGTATTTACCTGGGAATGAAATGAAGAGGCAAAGACATTGAGTTGTCATCCTCAGCACAATCTCCCGCTAATTCTGTTGTAACTATTTCAACTGCCTCTGGGTGGACTGTTGTGACAAACAGATGGGTAGATTTAAATACTGAGTCTCGACAATATGTTATTTCCACATGTTGACCGGCTGTGAAGTAGGCAACCAATATTCACACAATCCCTCAGGCATGTTTCCTTTCAGTTTGAACACAACCAAAGTGAAGATGGCTGACAAGAGGCAACAAGAAGAAAGGAATCACAGAAAGCAGGAACAGAATGAACTGGAAATAACTGGCAAAGAGGTGACTGACTAAAGTAACACATTAGAGGTGAGGAAACACAAAAAAACTTTGAAATTTAGACAGAAATGTCACAAAGTGTGTTATAAGTTAGGTGTTTTCTGCTTCTCCTCAAACGTACCACTTGGTCAAACCCTCCTGAACAGACACAATAAAAAGGCACATTTAGTGCAACTGTGCATCCCCTCGAGAATAAATCAGTGGACAATCTCTGTGACATTTGCTGCTGGGAATGACAAAGCAAGCCATTTAAAACAGAGCCGTTTCTAGATAAAGCTGATGAAACAGTAGAAGTGCCACTGTAAGTGCTAAATCCAGTGCGGTATTATCTTCAAGTGGAGCCATTACATCCTCTCTGCTAGCTGAGAAAACTCCAGACTCAAAAGTCTTAGCGTCAACACAACAGAATACAGCAAACAGTGACATATGGACTTGTAGAACCCTAATACCCAAAGAGTTGCTACCCTGATAAATAACTAATGTTAAGTCAGTAGCTGATTTCAGACCATGGACCATATTAAATAACTATTTTCTATGGTCCATGCTATCGCATGACCCCCACAAAAACAAATCAAAAGTGTGCTCTTATTTGAAAGTAACTTAGTATAAAAGTAATTAATTATGGTTGGTTTTCTACAGTCAGGGGTTTAGTTCTGAAAAGATAACTAGTGTCTAAAGATTGGGGATTTTAAATATTTATTTACTAGAAATTAAATCAAGTCAGAACTATTCCTATGTCTTAAAAACCCATACTTCCACTTATTACCTAGAGTCTGTGTTTTCCAGATGTGCACTAAACACTGGGGATTCCCAAAGACTTCCGTGAACAGATATTCTCAAATGCAACACCGCTCCTGAGTTCCTGCTGCCGGCTCTTTAATCTCTGGAGAGCTAGCGTGAGAGCACAGGAGGAGAAAACTCTTGAGAACTTTTGCTATGGATCCTTAGGAAACTCGAGAATCCATAGCGAATACCTAAGTGGGCGACTGAGCCCCTACTCATTAAGTCCAAATAAAAATGTCTGTGCTGCTTGGTATGCATCTCAAACAAACAGTGTCTCACATTTATAGGATAGGGAAATCTAGGGAGCATTGTAAATCACTAAAAATCAGGATAAAAATGAAGAATGAATAAATGTTACTGTATTCCTGGGGAGGATGAAGTGTCGTTATTATTAGAATTTTAGGTCAATTTCAGGGTAAATACAAATAAATGTTAGTAACTTCAGTCAGGAAGTCTCAGATCCAGAGCCTGATGACCGAGTGAACAATTTTTGATTACTTTTTTAATGATCTGACTATTTCTAAGTGAGCAAATGAATTATTCACTAACTGACTGCGTGACTAATTTACTGACTGGCTAATTTACTGTCTGGCTGCCATACAATTTACTGCCTGATTGAGTGACAATTTATTGATTGACTGACTGACTGATTGAGTTAGTGACTCATTTATCAGCTGACAGGGTGAAGGGACTCCCGTCGTAACAAACCAATGCAGAGCAGAAAAGACATGGAAAATGAAGTGGATATCAAATGTCTATTTTTGAAAGCACAGACATCTGCAGTTGGAATCACTGTCAGACCATGAACATGGCCACGTGCATGTGTCTGCAGCATCATCACACCATTAGACCTTAGCCTAGCATGATACGGTTAGAGAATACTACAGTTAACATGTATTTTAAAAGCAAAAATGAAAAAAAAATGAGAGAAGAAAGATGCACTTCAACAGATCGTGTTACTTTCACCCTGTTGAATAATACATCTTACGGGGGGGATTGGAGGGGAGGGGGGAACTGCTGCCTATCGATAATCACAACGAACAAAGAATCATTGCTTCAAACCTCGTGACCCATACTGTGCAATATTTTATACTGTTTGTCTCTTCCTCAACATTTTTATCCTGTGGGTATTTTTTGACCTTGTACAGCTCTCAATATTTCATTATACAACACATATTTGCACTACATACAGAATAAAAAAACAGGAAAACATATACACTTGGATGTCAGACATTTTTAACCAATAAAACATGTCCTCGGCTACATTCAAAGGCACCAAATGTTTCAACATGTGCAAACAAATTATTATTGATTAGTAAAATAATAAATAGTCTTGTAATTCACAGCAGCAGTTTCTGATAATAGGCACAGGGGGCAGCACAGCACTTGAACAAAAAACAAAAACAAAAACAAAATTCAAGTATATTCCCTGAGTTAACTCTACTACAGAGTTAAAAGACACAAAATACATACAAGAGGGACGTAAACACATGCTTCCACGTATTACAAGCACACTGCCACCTATACTGGAGTGTGTAAGATAACGCAGCCCACTCCTTATGCTGCACTATGATATTTTTTTTTTATATCGATGCGAAACATCATGCATTTAAATAGTTTTTAATCCATTCAAAAATCCCCTCCCCCCAGTTTCTCCTGAAAGAACCCACTGCTCCACCTGTGATGGTTTAAATGCAGAGGACCAATTCCATTCTGTGTATTTGTTTGCATGTTTGTATATAGTGCAACGATGATACAGCCAATCCTCCTGTTTTAATGACCTGTTGGTGACTTTCTGAGGTTCTCTGACGTCAACACCTTTATGTCAGGGTCTGCACTCTCCCCCGCTCCTCTTTCATCTATTTGCTCTCTCACTGAAATGTGAGCTACACCTGAAACATGTCCTCAAGGACAGGAAGAAACTCACACTGATCAGTGCACAGGCTAATAAACCTGTATTACACAGCTCTTCCAATAAAGCTACCTTCACCTGGGAGGCAGAGCTGGTAATATATTCCTGCGCCGCATTCCCTCGTGTTGCTTACTCCCGCTGAGGGGGGCGTGCTTCATCTGGGCAATAATGGCTGATTTGATTTAAAGAGATCCAATTACCCTCAACAATGGAGTGATTTGATTGTTTACTGATGGGGAAGGGAGAGTGTTATTCCAGTGAAATTGGAGGTAATTGTCTCAGGGAGATGGGGGGAAGGATGAAATGGCTTGATTGGATGTGGCTTTGAATGTCTGAGAAAAGAAAGTGTGTTTATGGCACAATTATCAGCAACAGGGTGGGGTGTCAGCTCCTTCTGTCACATGTCCTAATATGTTCTTTGATGCGAACATCAAAACTTTTACACCCTGTTTAGGAACCAGACATAAATCAGTGTCAACTGCAGCTAAAAAAATCTACTTTTAACTGAGAACCACTATAGCAGCCACCAATTAAACCAGTTATAAGAACAGTGTACTACAAGGTTACACCAAGGAGTCATTAACGCATCACCTGTTACTGTATTATTCAGTAGCAAAAAGTTCCTGATTTGATTTGCAAGGCTGAGTAATTTAGCACTATGTATTATCGTCAATAGGGGGCGCCAAACACAAAGGAAATGCGGTGTTTTCACCCTTGATTGAAAACATTAAAGTGTTATGTTTACGTTGTTTAGAAGTCAGCCATTGAGATCCCGGTCTGCACCAAATAGGTCTGGAGACAGTTCTGCAAAATATTTGTTGTCATTTAGTAGATAAACAATATCATCATAATTATTTTTCACTTCATAAAAAAATAACATCATAGAAAAGCACTGTATCCTGCGGCAGCCTGTGAGGTATTGAAACTCATTGGAAGTTCTACTAAGAAATAAACTCTCTCTGTCAGACACAGAACACAGTAAACAATAATCATCATTCTCACTCTATACTATTGTCTACATTCTTAATTGGGTTAATTACAGCCTATGGAAGAACACATATAAACAAGTATGTGATACATCCACAAAGAACAATTATAGAGGAGTCTGACCAAACAGCTGGTAGCCACCTGATGCTTGTGTCTGCCCCTAACTACATCACTGCACAGCACGAGGAGATGGTCAGAGATGAAGATAAATTGGAATGTGTCACACTGTGGCTTTATTCGCCATCCTTTATTCTGCTCTTGTCGCTCTTCCCCCTAGAAATATTTTGCCCTCTGTGTCTTTCTTTGATGTCTAAAGTTGACAGGTTTTACCGCATCAAATGAGTGGGACAGAAAAAGCCAGAGAGTGAGTCAGAGAGGAGCGGTGAGCGAGGAAAGGTGGAGAGATTTCTCTCCCCCTGTGAGGAACCTGTGGCTTCATTAAAGGCTTTCTACTGACATTAAGAAGATGCCTGCCAGAGGCGTTTACACACACACACACACACACACACACACACACACAAAGACAAATAAACACAAACCCACACAGGTTAATATTCACATCGTGACTCTTTCACTGGTAGAAAACAGGTGGAGAGGACTGAAGAATTTCCATTGTTTGAACTGTAGCTTCTAACCTTAACTACAGCTTCACAGGTGAAGTCCTAAAAGTCCTCCATCTAACTGATGTTTTGTTTTATATAATAAAGGGCTGCTTCCTTTTGAGCTTTAAAAAAACCAAAAAAACTTTCAGCTGCCTCCAAAAATTGATTGAACAAGAGGTTGGATCATGGACAAAGTGACAGGGCCGCAAAATGTCATCATTGCGTGGCAGCACTTTTATTCTTTCTCTCTTTCTTTTTTTTTATTGCTCTCTATTTCTGCTTCTCTGTCTGACATACTCATGGCACAGCGGAGCAGAGGGCAGAGAAAGCCAGCCAGAACACAGTGTGCTGATAAAAGACATGTCAGACTCTCACACACAGGGGACTCGTCCTGAAGGCGACACAGAAATTTCATAAATTACTCCTGCAACAGGGATAGAGAAGTGTGTGTGTGTGTGTGTGTTTGAGCTTTGTGCAAAGTGATGGACATGCTCGCACTGCTTTTTTTTTTTTTTTTTGGCATGCTCTCCGCTCAAAGTTGTTTATTGTTACCACGGAGAAATTGAACGACAGCCGGAGAAACAAAATATAGACAAAAGTTAGTGGGTGATGAAGAAAACACAAAATGGACAAGCTTCCTTCAGAGAATGTTTGTTTTGGCCACAAAACCACAGGATTTGGACCAAGCAGTGCTGTGGCGTTTAAACCAGTTACAGTTATTTGTTTAGTTGGGTGTAAGGCTCAAAGGAAAGGGCGTAGAAATGTATTAAAAAGTATTGAAGAGATTTAAATTGTAAAGACAAAAAAAAAAACCCAAAACCTGAATTTGGAACATGCTGTTTTTCCATGCTTTATTACTATTGACTCAGTTGCATCAGAGACTAATTAACACATGCTCACACATAAAACAAACCCATATACAGTTTTAATGTTAGCACTTTAGCTCCTGCAGCAGCACTAATGTCGTCAATCCGAGACACAAAGGGCGAGAGGCTGATGGATGGTAAGTGAGGATGGTTATGAGCTAATGTCTGAAGGAACACAGGGTGGAGACAGACAGGGAGGAGTAAGTGTGGGATAAATGGATGGGATGAGGACGAGGAGGAGCGAGAGGAGAAAGGTGGAGGAACAAAGGAGCTGAATATGACTGTAGCAGAACGGAAGAGTGCAGAGCAGGAGGCAGGAAGCCAGTCAGAACTGCAGTGAAACTCAGGTCGTACAGACAAAAGAATTAAAAAAAAAAAAAAAAAAAAAAAGCGAGAAGAGGAAGTGAGCAGATTCAAAATGGGGGAAAATATCTGTATTTTTGTCACTGCCACTTATTCTATATGCAGTATTTAAACATCATTAAAAGACCTGCAGTGATGACTTGTTGCTTGGATATGAAAAAGTATTAAATATTAACTCTAACGACGCTCATGGATTTTGGTGTTTCATTTTCTAACTGTGATTCGGTTCAAAATCTGTAACGTGATCATGTACTTACTTTTATTTAATGAAGAAATAAAACAAAGACTTTCGGTGTTTTTACTGGCTAAAATGATTTCTACTGTGCAAGTGAATTTTTTGCTTTGTTATGCTGTGTAAAACACGGTAGCGGATCAACTAGTTCAAGGTCACTGTTTTGTGATTGGCCTTTTTCTGATGCTGCAAATTTCGTCAACTTCTTCTGCAGCAAGGTCAGTCCAACTGCCTGTGTCACAAAGACATTTATAATGATTTAAAATGAGGCCTAAAATAAGGTTTATGGGGAAATATATATTCATTATCAACGGATGACAAATGTTTTAGTACATTTTTTTAAAGACTACCTACCTATCTGGTTCTGTAGGCTGTGAACTACACATAGTTTGAATACTGCTTGCTAAAGGGTTTTAGAATTGTTTTTTTCCAAGTGTTATTCTACACATTTATACATGTTTATTTTCACTTTGAGCCTGTTTTAAATGCTAACTACAGAATCCACAAACTCAATCAAATGTAACAGCCACAGCAAATCACATTGTATTGAGAACCTTTAAATAACTTATGTAATATTTCAGATTAATGGAGACATTTGCATTAAAGGTTCATTAAACATTAACGTAGGACTGTTTCTAGTGCAACATGTGTTCTAGGAGACCTGTGTTTTATGCCTGCTGTATTTTATGAAAATGCCAAGAAAAAAACCTTGGCGTTCGAACGCGTTTCCCAAATCATGTGTGTCAAATTACCATCTGTAAGTAAATGAGAAAGAGTGGTGCTGACAGACGGAGCGTCAGTGAATAAGAGTCATTTATTGCTACACAGGCGTACAGTGCATTATGCAAATCAACAACTATGAAGGGGATGAAATCAGGAGGGAGACAAAAAACCTTGACAGATGAAAAGAATGATTCTCAGCGACATCAATGTGGCATTAAATCACATTAGAGAGGGCTTTAAATTTCAGCATATATATTTGCTCAGCACTGTTACTGCTCTGTCTTCTCATTCCTCGCCTGTTTCCTCACATTACCTTCCTGTTTTTTTTCGCTATCCCTCTGCCATCCAGTCACTGCTTTAACTCTCTAATGTTACTGTTTGTGGAAGACGTGTCTCATCTCTCTCTCTTTGTAATGTTCTTCTGCAAAATACCATTTCCTTCCAACAGTGATGATGCCATATGTACCAGCACTTCCAGCCTGGGACAAAAACTACTTCAGAGTTTCAAGCAAATAACATTCATTTTTCCTTTTTCTATAAATTGTCCTTCAGAAGATATAATAATGAAAAATAATGACATTTTTGACAACCAGGGTTTAGCTGTTGGTTGAATGTCTGTGACAGATTGGCTGATTGTGGACAGAGACTGACAATGCATTTTCATTTTAGCTCAGTAAACAGAAAAAAACATATTGTTTCAGGCAAAAACTTTTACATTTGATGAAACTGGTCAACTCTGACACCTAACGATCTACTTGGCAGCCTGCAGGCCTTGAGTTTGACACATATGACCTACACCCTACAATCAAGACTACCAAATGGGTTTGACAATTCAGCCTAGGCAGGACCAGATTTATACGTTCTTCGAAAAAACGTATGCACAATCATGACTGATATATAAAGACAAGACTTGTATATAACACTAATTGCATATAATTTCCCTCCAAATCCAGTTGCATGCAACATTAACTTCATTCATACATCCAGTATATGATCGATAATTTCCATTTTTATGATCAATTTCTCTAACACTATAATTGATTGCATTTGTAGTAATATACTCCATCTTTATTGAAGCTACACAATGACATTAGAGCTAATTTTTCTTTAATATAAATGCTAATTTGTTCTTTATTCCATGCCACACAGAGATTACTGTAATATACTCTGGTGTTAAAAGACTTCCATTATTGAACAGAAACAGGAAAGTCACAGACAAATTCAAATAACAGACAAAAAGGGGCTTCAGCCATCCATCTGCTTATGACATTGAGAGAACAAAACATGAAAAACAAAAACACACCAACACATCAAATGAGATTAGGAAGCTTCTTGTCTGTGTGAATCCTTAAATTATTCCATAATCCTCCACTACGCACCAGCCAGACCATCATGGTTCAGGCATGCTGAGCTTCGCCAGCGGCGTTCCTTGTCGTTCCTACAACAATCCAGTCAAAACCCGGAGAGGCTCCACGAGCCCCTCGTCAGAGGCTGAGGGTTGCTATAGAAACCACTGAGCCCACCAGGAAGCTGAGATAATCAGAGATACCAGAGGGCTGATGTCACTTTTGTACATTCAGGACAGACGCACACACTGATACAGTCACAGTGTGTGGGGTGTGCTTCGAGAAAATATGGCCACACACACTGACTCACAAACACTCACACATGCTTTTGACTTGTAGTCTCTTTCTATGTATATCACTGAGCTGCTGCTCATTAAGATGATTGCCATTTTCACCTGTATGCTGAAGACACTTAGATTCAACTCTAGGGCTACTTATCAGTAAACTCACTTCATCTGATACAATGACATTTCATGGGTGAGGATGGGTTATAACCTGAACAGATAGCCAGTCCATCATGGGTCTACATATAGAGACAAAGCCCTCACTTATATGTATGTGGAATGTACATTTGATTGACTTTTAACGCTGCATGTTTTTGTATTGTGGAAGGAAACCAACAGAAAATCCATGCACTGAAACAACACCTAAACATATCAGTTATAACAGGGGATCAAACTGTTGCTCCTTTTACTGTAAAGCAGAACCACGGACCTCTACTCCACCGTTCGGCCCACATCAAAAAATGAACATGTAACATTATTGGTCTTTGTTGACAAGGTTGTCTGCATTTACGACTTAAAAAAATATTTAAAATGGAGGCAATCCATACAGGTGGCTTCAGCAAACAGGTGGTGGATGATTCATCACCTAATACTAGGTCTTGACAAAAAGCCTTATTAGTACTTACCAATGAGCTCTTTGTTCCTTATGTCCAAGGCCATATTTCTGAGAGCGGTGGCTACGGCACACACCACTTTGTCATTGTCTATCCTCAGTAACTCCACCAGGATGGGAAGGCCTTTCTCTTTACGCACAGCAATCCTGATGTACACCGACCACTGTCCGAGAGAAGAAGGGAGTAGATTAAAGAGAGGAGTACAATAAAGTGGACTGATAATTAAAAACTGACATCTATGGTTTGAAATCAAAGAAGGTGCAAGATGGAAAATAATTTAAGCGAAAATTTGAATTCTAATTTGAAAAGGGAACTGTAACAGACAAAATAAAACTAGCCAGTTCTTTCATTTTCTTCTAACCACTGTGATCTCTTCTACTTTTAAATGAGATAATTGGGACATGAAGAATCAAGCATTAATTAACTGCCTTGGACACACGTAACACAAACAATGACTTGGTAATGAGACTCCGCTTTTTACTGCCGCCCTACTGTAATTACTCTCAGCTCAAAATAATTCTTTTGTCGTTCCTATGAATTATTTTTACCATTCATCTGTCATTTTCCATTCTTTTTTTAACGAAACAGAGACTTCTTTGATTATAGTGGCTGTGGTAAGATAACAAGACAGAAGACAAATGAAACACAATGACCAAGGTCAGAAGAGAGATGTTATATTCAGGGGCGGCGTTGGAGTGACTGAGGCATTAAAGTCACAAGTGATATACTTTAAAGGGGAGAATTGAACCAGAAAGGTCTGCAGCTTGGAGACCACTCCATCCTCCCTCAATAACTATCAAAGTGCCCTCAAATGGACCACTCCACGTTAAATGGCTGAAGAGGTGGCGCCTTGTGGGTCAACAGCAGACTGGGAAAGTGCTAAAGAGATCCTAAGAATAGATTTGCAGAAAAATCAGGTGTAAGATACTGGCATACCATATTTAGACTAATCTGGATTTTCTTTCTTTTAAACTGGCCAAATGATGGTTTACAAACAT